CCATCATCACCCCCCCCCCCCCCCCACCCCCTCCCCCCCCCCCCCCCCACCATCACCACCCCCCCCCCCACCATCATCACCACCCCCCCACCACCATCATCAACCCCCCACCACCATCATCACCACCCCCCCACCATCATCACTCCTGCCATCACCTCCACCATCCCCGTCACCATCTCCACCACCACTACCATCATCACCATTACTATCACCATCATCACCATTACTATCACCACCATAATCACCACTACCATTACCACCATTATTATCACCACCATCACCATCACCACCATCACCACCACCACTACCATCATCACTGCTTCTATCACCACGCCCACCAAACACCACTACCATTGTCATATATTTAGTACTTGATCTTCTTTGGAAACTCATTCTCCAGGGTCCCAGTGCCTATGGCTATTTAGAATCCTCTGATTTATACCTTTCTTTACTTATTCCCTAATTTCAAAATTCACCTCATCTGGGCTCCATTCCCTTGGGGCTCTGTTCTTTTCTAGGAGACAGCTACTCAATTTGATATAGTAATTGTGTTATTGGAAATAAGGTGTTGGTAGTGGCCCTCTAAGGTAATACGATCTGAGAATAAGGACAATATCTGGTTTCAGCTCAGCCACTTATTCACTGCGTGACTTTGAGCGAGTGATATCACTTCCAAGGGCTTCTGCTTCCTCACCGAGAAGACTCTTGGAGAGTCCTCCTCATTGCACATGCTGGTTCTGTGTGTGTTTCAACCTCCACTGGTAATGCCTTAGTCCACTGGAGCAAATATGGATGGAGGTGATATATGCAGGAGTTTCACAGTGAATAACGAGCCATTATCTGCAGAAGCAGCAGCCTTTGCAGAAGCAGCTGCATCTCCTTGGGGGAAGTTCTCTGCCTATAGTTGCTGCCAGATCCAATCAGTCAGGAGGCAGGAACAGGCATAGACAGGTAACCACCCCACAGTAATGACAGGTGGTTGCACAGCCTTCCCTTTTCCCCAGAACCATGCTGTCCTCGTTACATATCATGGCCCACCTGCTTTGATAGTCTGACTCGGGGCTCAGAGTCCATGTCTGGCTTATTCACAGCAACTTTAGGAGCCAGCAAGAGAATCCTTTATTAATGCCATATGACTAAAGTAAGTGTTCAGATGGCACAAAGTTAAGCGTTCTTCTTAGCTTTCCCTGGCAATTTTCCTGGTGGGGACTGTCACATCAGAAATGCACTGGAGGGAAAGCAGCAATCAAGTAATGCAATTTAAAGGAAGAAGTATAACTTTGGTCCAGTTTCTTCATTTTTCCTAATTGCTTCTCTTTTTTTCCTTTCTCTCTTAAATCAATCTGCAGTATGGCTTGGTAGAATGCACGACTCAGTATTTAAAGAAGCTTAAGCAAAACTTAGCTTATGTAAGGTTATAACATCTCAGGCCTAATCCCCAGACAATGAGAATAAAGGATTTTGGACTTGCTTTCTCCTGGGAAACTCCAATAGACCCAGGCTGTCCAGATTGTCATAACTTTTCCTACTTTTACATCCAAGTGAAATAACAGCAACTCAAGATAAGAACAAGGGAAGATACTGGATTTATAAAGACAAAAAAAGAAGAGAGGGCACTATTTTGAAGAATAAAAGAATATTCTTGCTGCCAATGTGGTCTGAATACAGAGACAAAATTTCACTTTAAAGACAAAGATGTGAAGCCAGCAGAGGTTAATTATTTACCCTGGGTCACACAGTAAGTTAATAGCACAACCAGAATCAAGGTCCGATCTCTCGACCTGAGCTGAGTCACTTCCCAAATGATGTTGCCTTCCCTTTCTTTTCCATAAAGGATGAAAACCAGCAAGTTTTGAAAGAGATAGGAAGACAGGTTCTCTATAAAGGTGAAAAGAGAGTGTTACTTACATTCCACAGGCAGGGAAACTGAGTCACAGAGGGGATTAGTGCTGTGGTCCTCACTAAGGGTGATTTTTATCCCCAGTGGATGTTTGGCAATATCTGGAATCATTTTAGGTTGTCACAACTGGTAAGGGAACAGGTATGACAACCTGTATCCCGAGTAGAAGATAGGGATGCTGTTAAATGTTCTACACAAGACAGCCCTCTACAACTAATAATTATCTAAGGTCACGTACAATAAATATAAATACATTGAACAATAAATATTTTTATCTGGGGGTTGTGCACTTAAAATCAGATTCAGATTCTGATTATCATTGAAAGTTTGCACAACTTGGGTTATCTGTGCTTTTTTTTTTTTTTTCCAACATACACCCACCTGTTTCCTGAAAACTCCCTGCCAACCTTCAGTGGTAGACTTGGTCTTGACCAAAGTAGGCAAATTTGTCTTCAGGTCCCTAGTCATGTGCTCTGTGTCTTGTCCCCACCCAGCTCCACTCTCTTCAGCTACCCAGCAAGGACTGGGCTGCTCATCCTCACTGTTTCTCAGCAATGAGTGCCCTCAGGAAAGTTCTGCCTTCCTTGACTCTCACCTGGACATGAATTGAGGTTCATGTGCTATTCCTTCTGGAGAGTTCGCATGCCACCACTACCTCTGTTCTGACATTTGCATCCTGCAAAAGGGATTTCCAGCCTCTATGACCAGGCTGGGAGGAGTTTGAGAGGAATTCAGAACAACTGTGCATCAGCCTCTGTTTTACCTGAGGCCTGATCCGAAACCCTGAGAAAACATGCACAGCCCCGTCATCCTGTGACAGGATTCTGGCTAGGATTCTACAACTTCAAAACATTTTCTTTTGGGCTCTCTAAGCACATCTTTCCATACTAATAAAGTCAAATTATTAATTGAGAAATTAAAAGATTTTTATCTTTGTTCTTTGTTTAACTGCATTCAGAAGTTTCATGATAGATTTCCAGGATTTGTGAAAGGGAGAGTTAACTTCCTGAATGACCAAAAAACAGTTGATGTTTTTTCTGTGTCATTTTTAAAATTGATTTTTGGATGCTCTGTATTTTAGCTTTTAAAATTATTAAAACTGAGCAGATTTTGGAAGGATTCACAGAGTTATTCTAAGGCTTAAAGGAGCTAATAGAGGTGAAAGTGTTTTTGAAAACCATGGAACATTTCGTGTATGTAAACAAGGGTGTGATGGTGATGGAGATATTGCTCAAAATGGCTAGGATCAGGACCTCTATCCCTTAACACCCAAGTCCTCCCCCTTCAAAAATAAATCCAAACCATTTTCCAAATAGATCTTCTCTGTCTAGTTTTAAACCCTTTAATTGGGATATACATTTCAAACTTAGAACTTCATAGGCTTTATATGATTAATAAAATCTTAAGGCAATTTTCATTAAGAGTATGTGTGCTCATTCAATACTTAACAGCTTCTGCTTGGCCAGCCGCCACCACCGGCAGCATTAGGTCAGCTGCTCCCTGTCTGCTTCCCTCTTGCACTGGCTTATGTTAGACAGTGATTTCTGTCTTCTGGGTGTGTAAAACTACACACAATGTGTGAGTAAGCTTATGCTGCTGAGCGAGAGTATCATTTTAGAACGCTTAAGAAGGATTTAAATGTAACTGCTAATTTAAATGTAACCGCTGCTAGCTGTTGCTTCCCCTCTCACTGCAAAATTGTTAGAGTAACTTCAGAGAAGAAAAAGAGAAATCTTATCAGCAAAACAGTAAAAACAGTGATCAGCAGCAGGTCTAAAATATGTTGGTTATAAATGGTCATGACACTTTTGTAAACATTTCCCTGATTCTACATTCCTCCAAATCTTTGGAATTCATTGTCTTATCATTAGGGAATGTAAATGCACAGAAAGCAAACGGCCTTTATATGTTGGTTTCTGCTTTCACTTTTTAAACTCCACTGTTTCTTACATTTACATGTAGCTTAGTTATTAATAAAAGCAACTGTTCTTAAAAGATAACCAGAAATTATATTTTGCATCATTCTCAGTCTAATTTTTATATATTGACAATATTGATTTCATTTAACTCAAAATATACAAACCAAACTCAAACACAAAATTCTTTCAAAGAGAGAATTTCTTAGATAACTTAAGGAAATCGGTAATATAAGTATTTCTTTTCCTCAGTCTTTGATTGTTTGAAATACCACCCAGCTTAACATTTCTTCAGAAATAATCTACTCTTTAGCCAGATTGGATATGCTTCTCTGTACCAAAGTCTGGCTCTCCATGCTGAGTACATTGGTATAATCCAGGACTGCACAGGTCCTGGACATCCCATTTAATCAACATCCCATGCCTGGTCCCACCCTTCCTACCCATGGGAGTTCTGTCTCCTTTCTCAGAAAGTTGTTCCACTGCAGGGTCTCTGCATTCTCAAAGGTGTTTCAAAATCTCCTGTAGGGAGCAGCATCGAAGGTAGAAAATATCTAGATTTGAAGTCAGCAGACTGGAATCCAGCTGCAGCTTTGTCACTGAAAGCTGTCCTTGCCCTGTGTCCTAACTTGCAAAAGGGCATGAGTAATGCCTGCCCTACTTACCTCACAGGATCCTGTGAAGAATCAATACCACTTCATAAGTGAGAAAGCCCTACAGTGACACATCCTTATAGCAGGAGTTAGGATGAGATGGAACCACTCATTTCTTCACTCTTACTGTCAGTGTGAAAATGGAGAAAAGCTGTGCCTTGCACATCTTCTGTGCGACTTGATGTTTGGTTGATCGAATGTTTGATTACAGTCATTGACATTTTTGTCATGATCACTCCTCAGTCCCTAGGCAAGAGGTTCTTAACAGTAACTGGTCTATAGTATCATGATACCTATCATCATTTGCCTGAAGCCAATGAAACAAATGGTATTGAGATGATGATTTTGTTTTATAGCACATGATAAGCTCAGAGAGTTCAAGAAGCTATACTGGGTGTCAGAAGCTAGAATCTTACAAATGAAAGTTTATTAAGTGTTAATCGGCATTTCAGCAGCTCTTAATGAACTGGCATCTATTCTGAGGCAAATGATAGATGTAACAGATTTTAGGAATCAGTAGTTGCTGCTTACCATTGCAGACCCCACACGGCTGACTTTGATGGGATTTCCCCTTCCAGAGAGGTCCATTTGTGCTCTGTCCATCACGTATAGGCAAATGTCCAGGATGCTATCTTCAAACTATTTGGAGGAAAAAAAAGAGTAACCACTTAGTGTTCACTCTGCAAACAAATTATTCTCTGATGAAAAATAAAAGGAAACCACAACCTAATGTTTAAAAATGTGTTTCCTATATAGTGATCTCCTATAATCTTTAGTATGAAATATTAAAGTAGAAGGAAGAAGACATCTTTTATTTTCCATTAAAGTGAATAAGAACATAAAAGCAAGCCAGAAACACAAACAGAACTACTGGAGAGTTGATATACTCAGAGATCATGAGCTGAGTTGAAGTTCTTCAGAAAATGGCTCAAGTTAATTTAGAAGGTCTTTTCAACATATTGGCTCTTGTACCCAAGAAGAAGGAATGAACGATTTACCAAAGTCAGGCCAGAGTCTTAGGACCTCAAAAGTAATATAAGTCCTCATACATTTTGAAAATAAAGAGCTCTCAGGTGTATCACAAGAAGGCACTTCACACTACTTAGTTTGCATCCAAACTAGTAGGAGACCTCATATAGTGACTGTCCCTCTGAGGTTTCCCCTCTTCTGAGACAAGGTAGACCCCAGGATCAAGGAGAAGCCAGATGTCTTGCAGAAAGTAGATTACACTATCAAGGGAAGAGTCTCATGCAAGTTCAATTTCCTTAGAAAGAACTGCTAGACACAGGCAATACCAAACTTCTTTAAAAAAAGGAATAAAGTTCACATAGCAAGACAGGAAGATTTTACCTATACCTCACTGTTGTAAGAGATTTCCCTGAATACAGAAAGCTTGCCTGCTATCCACCCAAGTACTTGTGACAGAAACCACAATCATAATGGCTAATTACCATGCAATTCTTTATTCAGCCCAGTTAGAATACACACTCTGGGTGTATCCCAAACTGATGGGATGGATGCAGTAATGGGTAATTGCACTAGTTCTTCAGGTATGCTAATAGCTCAATATTTTGGTTCTTATTAAGCAGCTTCTCTCAGCTGTTTTTGCTGGGCATGATAGCAACTAACTGGAGAGTTAAAGAAATAGTCATAGGACTGATTGATTCCCTGTATCACTGCAAAAAGGCGTGGCTGGTTATTTTGGCCAAAGGCCACAAACCAATAGCCTCTTTGAGTAACAGAAAATACAGTCAGTGACTGTGCTCCAGGGTGTCTATCCAAAGCCAAGCTGGCTGAGGAGTACCCTGACTGGGCTTGGGACACCTTTCCAGACCTCCTTGCTGCCCACCTTGATGACTTTTCTTCTCGTTAGCTATGTATAGATTATCACATTTGGGCCATAAATAGAATCACCAGGCTAAAGGCTAGAAATTGAGGACCCAAGGTAAGGGAATCAGGCAGCAGGCATTAGTCAAGGATTGCATGCCACTGAGGAGGGGATGGCTTGGTACAAGGGAGCCAAGCAGGAATCCAAAAACAAGGGGTGCCAACACAGCTCAAGCTTGGCAGGACATCAGAAATGCAGGCGGGCAAGCCTGAGCACTGGGCCTGCAATTCTCTGGAGTCAGGGTGAAGAAGCTGGTCACAAAGCCAGGCAGGCAGGATGACACAGGTACAGGAGCAGTGGGTGAGGAACACAGGGAGATCCCATATGGAAGTCAAAGCAAAGCACCCAGAGCCAAGGAAGTATCCTGTGACCTGGTGCAGCCAGATTCCACGAAACCTCCCCACTGGATGCCCAGAGCAATGATGCACAATTCCAGCCATCCCAGCCAAAGCTCCCCGAGAAATGACATTTACCCCCTCTTGTGTTGCTAATTAAAAATCATTTTGAAATCACAAGATATGCATTCATTTGTGGAAAACTGGTAAAATATCATTCATTTGCTCCATTGTTAAAGATATCAAGCTGAAATAGTTTGAACGATTGAACATCTTAAAGAAATGCCATTTGCTACTTTATGTCCAGATAGTAACTTGAGTTTGCAGCTGATAAAATGTTTCTACGTAAAAGCCCAGTGGGCTATTCTTTGATGAAACAACACTCTTTTCTAATTAGCAGTACCCTAGGCTAACACTTTTTTTTGGAAAAAAAAACCAAAAAACAAAAAACTATTTCTTTGAATTGGGCACATCCCTTGCGGTACTCTTTGCATCACTACCAAAATAACTTTCATTCTAAGAAAAGGAAAACTTCAGCCCATGCCAGGTTGAGCTAATGAGATTTCACTGTTCTAAGTGGCCAAAGCATTTCTCAATAGAATGTCACATTATTCATGGAATCTCTCATTTCTGTAACACTGTAATACCCAGAGATATGTGGTTTCAGCTGATAAATTATGCAGTTGTCTTTATGAGTCTATACTCTCTGCCTTGGAGTCTCCGATCCTAAAAAGCAGGAAATTGTGCTTGTCTAATAGCGATATATGGCACCCTGCAGGGATACATGTGACAAAAAATATGAAGTAAATATGTCCTTGACAATAACAAATTTTAAATGGCTCACCTGACCATAGCTCCAGCTCCTAGTCTTGATGTCATTGACCTCTCCATAAAAAATTACCCCAATGTCGTTCAGGACATATTCTTCTCTTTCTTTCTCATCATCCAGATACACAGCATCATCTGCATCAGAATTTAAACATAGTGACCATTACCAAACCACACTGTTTCCAAACACTTGCAAGTTTATTTCTAAACTGCATTTAATCAACCAAATTTTTAAAAAATGCTCTTTGTTTCATTAAGCATAGCTCATTTTCCAATATTTTAGTAATGGTGAAGATACTCAGCACCAGAGTTCACTTAAATGATGACATTTGTTAGCAAAATGCTGACAAACTCTGGCTCTTTAAGTTCCAAGCAGCAGAATTAAATTGATATGTCTCATTAAACATTTTATGATTCTGGTGCATCAGTAGTTTCAGAATTCTATGATGCTGATGTAAATCTCTAACACAAATTAAAATGTAATTTCCAACCTTTTAACATTAATAGAAAACTATATGAATTGAAAATGGTTTTTAAAACAAATCTGGGACACAGGACAAGGCAACAGCCTAATTTGTCATGTCATGTCTGTTTTGTGGCCCATCACTGGGAGGAGGAAAGCAGTAGTCACCTCCTTTTAATGAAAGATACTTGTGGATGTGCCAGTATGTATGTGTGTCCAACCATCTTCCCTGGCCGAGGTCTTTCACTGCAAGGACTTCTCTTCCCTGTGGCTAGAATCTCAGGAGGGTCATGCTCCCCATCTATCCACTTGGTCATCAATTGGGTGCTTATTCCCAGGCCTGGTGGGAGAGCAGCAAAGCATCTTTAACACAGACAGGACCCTACAAGTGTAAATTACACTCAGGAAAATGTGTGTATTTGGAACAGGCATCTAAATGTTTCAATATGAATTCTACCTCAAGGTGACAAAATAATTGATGATAATAAATGCAAAAGGAATGGTAGAATTAGAATGTTGCAATTCCTAATGAAACAATGAATTGAGACAGGAATAATTCGTTAAGAAGGGAACTACATAATGGATGGATAAGACTGAAAAAACGTGAAGGGGAAAATATTGATACGCCTAAACATATGTATCCCCTGCTAGGATGAATGTCCTGGGAGGCAATGATGACTTATGAAGTATTTTTCTCCCCTCCTCCAAAAAAATATGTCACTTGAAACTGAATCTGATAGAGTCTCTAGATCTAACTAGCTGCTTAACAGAAAATGCCACAGTGGTTAAAAAAACATCCCACAGTGGTTAGAGAAACATATTTCATGACACCAGGGGATGGACTCAGCAAAATTCAGAATATGGAAAGTTCTACATAAAAAATGACTCCGTTTCGGCAATAAGTTTGTGGCATGAAGAAACAGATGAAGAGGATTACTCTGGAGGAAAAGATTTAAGTGACAAACCAACCAAATTTAATCTACATACCTTAATCCAAATAAACTAACTAAAAAGATAATTTTTAGACATTGGGAAAATTAAAGATGGTTCATCAGATAATACCTAGAAGCGCTTGTTGATTTGTATTAGCTGCAATGATTACACACACACACACACACACACACACACACACACACAGGCACATACATATACACATATATAGGTACATATGTATCAATGCATACTGCGTATATGTCTATTTTTTAAAAACTGCATGCTAAAATGTGTATGGGTAAACTAATATGATTACTAGAATTTGCTTGAAGATGCTAAGGCAAAAAATAAGGGAAAAAAGGATAGATGAAACAAATGTGGCAAAATCTTGATAACTATTCAGCCTGAGAGACATATGAGTAGATATTCATTGTGCTATTCTTTCTGTTTTTGAGTTTGTCTGAAAATATTTATAAGAAAAATTAAGTTTATCAAAAGACATAAAACTCAAATACAAAACCTTTCTAATTGGATGTGAAAATTCAGTAATGTAAAGATACAAATTCTATCTACGTTAGTCTATATGACTAATGTGAACCCAGCCAAACTTCTACTCAGGGTTTTTGGAACTTTGCATGCTCATTCAAAAGAAAAAACAACATGAAAGAAAATAGTCAGGCAGGGTGTTGTGGCTCATGCCTGTAATTCCAGCACTTTGGGAGGCCAAGGTGGGTGGATCGCTGGAGATCAGGAGTTTGAGACCAGCTTGGCCAATACGGTGAAACCCTATCTCTACTAAAAATACAAAAATTAGCCAGGTGTGGTGGTGCGTTCCTGTAATCCCATCTCCTCAGGAGGCTGAGGCAGGAGAGTCACTTGAGCCCAGGGGTTGGAGGTTGCAGTGAGCTGAGATAGCGCCATTGCACTCCAGCCTGGGTGACAGAGCTAGGCTCTGTCTGAAAAAAAAAAAAAAAAAAAAAAAAAAAAGAGAAAACAGCCAAAAGCTAATATGTTGAAAATGAAGAAAGACTGAAGAACTTGCCCAAAGGTAAATTAAACTTTGGACCCCAATTTATAGTTTCCTGCATCTATACCCTTCACCATGTATCTAGCAGTTCTTCCCTCTAAATGTGGAATATCCTCTCTTGACTTTGGGCTTATTTTGGCTAATGGGGTGTTAGCAGAAGCAAGTAGGGGTATAAAATGTGACAGCACAGCTGAGCATGTGCTCATACAAATCTGCTATTACCCTGAGGAAAATATGCCCCAGCAAGCCCGCTGGTCAAAGAAGGATGTGGGGCACCAGAGCAGAGGGTCTCTGGAGCTCTCAGGGAGAAACAGATCCTCTCCAGCTGTTCCCACCTGAAGCAGAGGTGGCCAATCAAGCCCAGTATAGATGAGCCGAACCCTAGCCAAGCCCCAGATCCATGAATAAGTGCTTATTGTTGTATGCCACTGAGATTTTATAGTTCTTTCTTATGTAGCATTACTGTGATTATAGCTAACTGCAACAAAGCTACACTTAAAACCGACATTAGCATAGTAATGGACAAATATACAGAAGGACCTAGATGTGTTTTAAATCATACTAAGATATATACTAAATAATAAAGATGGCACTTAAAATCAATAGGTAATAATAGACCTGATCAATATATGGTGTTTTGACAGCTGGTTATCGATGCGAGAAAAAAAAAAATATGTCAGTAAGATCTCTCTCTTTCTCTCACCATATACAAACTCGATCCACGGATTTAAGAGGTGCATGTGTGTCTCTTCCTGACAATCTTTATTTTGGCCGACACATTCCAGATATAAGCAGATAGAGAAACATAACATTCAATAAACATATGATAAAATGTTCGACTCCACTAATAATCAGAGACATAAAAACCAAATTAACCATGAAATCCCAGTGAGATATCATAATTCTCATACCATATTGGCAAATATTAAAACAAATGGTTAACCATCAGTGCCAATGAGGGTCTGAAGAGACGGATACTCTTATCTATCGTGGCGGTAGTGTAAAATAGTGCAACCTTTTCAAAGGGTAATTAGGCAATATCTATGCAAATTTAAAATGTGAATTCACTTTGCCCAAGCAATGCTATTTCTAGATGTCTATTCTACAGACATCATTTGTACAAAATGTATGTGAAACATTCAAAATGGCATAACATGCTATAGTGAAAATGGGAAACAATCCAAAGAGTTGTAAACAAAAGACAAAAACAATGATGATATAACCATGCCAAGCAGCCCTTCAAAAGAAGATGCACGTACTGCCATAGAAAATGCTCCGAGGTACACTGCATGAGAAAACGAGATACAGAGCAACAGGTTGACACAATCTCATTTGCAGTTTAAAAAAAACTTAAACTCTTTCAATATATATATGCGTATCAATATATAAAATGATAGCAAAGTATGTGTAATGATATACACAATTAAGGTTGATTTTGTCTGGGGATTCTCTAAGATTGGAAGATCGGTGAAAAGAAAAGTTTACTTGTAGTCATACATATGTACATGTGCGTTTATTCGAAAAGAACAATATATTCAAATAGTTGTTTAAAAATGAAAAGCACTGAAAATACTTTAAATGAATGACATTACAACAAAGTGTTTATTGTTGGTGTCTCTGATTTGTAGATCTTTGAGCTCTTTTTACGCTTTCATTATTTTTTATTTCCATAAGAAGACTTTTTCCATCAGAAAAAGTTATTTTTAAATGTGTTTCCATTTAAGTGAAGCTACCCATTTAATAAGAGATTAACAAGTTCAACTTTTACACATTAGTTTTCTTTAAGAGCAATAAGGTTGTGCTCTTTTTTATTATCCATGTCCTTAAACACAGCTTTTTTCTCCTTCTTTAAGTCTCCCTGAACCCTTTTCTTTCCAGCAGAGATTGAACCTTGCTCCCTTAGTGCCCTATGGAGGCTGGGATAACATTTATCCCACTGTACGGACATTACTGTTTAATTATTATATTTATTGAAGAAGCATGTGTTTAAGTATCTACTATTTAAATTTTTTTAAGTAGTAGCATGTAAATAAGCATTGTTATACTGATTATTTACTGCCAGGAGCTTTCTAAGTGCTTTATAACAAGACCCATGAACTCATCAACACTCATAACAACCTTGTGAGAAAGGTAGCCCCATTTCATTGAAGAGGAAACTGAGGCAAAGAGAAACACAACTTTTCCAGGGTCATATAGCTATTGAGTTGTGAAGCTAGGATTTGAATAAGCTGCCTTCCAAGTAGTTTGTGGCTCTTGGGTCCAAGAGATTGAATGACTGTGTCCTCAGCCCCCAGCACCGTGCCTTGGAACACGGTAGGAAATCAATCAATGTCTACCGAAAGAATGAGAGATGGGGACGATGTCTGGAGCTTAGAGAGTAAGGGAGAAGTCCAAGAAAATGAAGGATTTACCTTTGGGCTTTGGGTTTGTATTGATGGGATGTGATAAATTTAGGTGGCAAAGCATGAACAGAGAGGAGTTCTGGAGCTTTAGACTAGGCCACCCTTTCCCTTCCAATGCTTGAATTAAATCTCACCTCAAACAGCTAGACATTATCATGAATCCACAATACAGCAAGGAAGTCAAACAGGAAGTCTTGATTTTAATTTTAAATTTATTTATGATTTTAAAAAGAAGATTGAGGGTGGAAAGCGGTGCTTTATTTCCCCTGTTTTTATTCAGATCTGTCACTTTAAAATACAGGTGTCCAAA